AAAAAAAAGGTAAGTGAGTCCTCTTTGTCACTGAAAGAGTTGTGTAAGACCAGTTGTGGTAGGTAGAATAATGATGTCCATTTCCTAAACCATAAGAACAATGTCTATGTTAGGTTACATGGCAAAAGATATTTAGATTGCAAAGTTGCTAATCAGCTAACCTTGAGATGGGAAGATTATTCTGGATATCTAGTTGTGCTCAATGTAATTACAAGAGTCCACACAAGTAAAAGAGAAAGTCAGATGAAAGAGATACCAGAGATGGCAGCGTAAGAATTCATCCTGACATTGTGGGCAATAATGATGGTGTAATGGAGCCATGGCCCACGGAATGCTGGGAAACTCTAGAAGCTGAAAGGGCAAAGAAAATGGATTCTCTCCCAGAGCCTCCAAGGGGAACACAGCCTTCCTAACACCTTGCTTTGTGCCCAGTGAGAACAATTTCAGACTTCTGACCTCTAAAACCAGATAATAAATCTGTTATTTAAGTTACTAAGTGTGTGGTAATTTAATACAGCAGTGCCTTAGTCCACTTGGGCTGCTAGAACACCACAGACTTGGTAGTTTACAAAAAAGAGAAATTTATTTCTTAAAATTCTGGAGGCTGGGAAGCACAAGATCAAGGCACTAGCAGATTCCATGTCTGATGATGGCTCTCTTCCTGGTTCGCAGACAACCCTCTTCTCACTATGTCCTCATATGATTGAAGGGACTTGAAAGCTCTTTGGGATCTCTTTTATAAAGCACTCATTCCATTCATAAGGGCCCCACCTTCACGACCTGTTCACCTTCCTAAAGTCTCACCTCCAAATACCATCCCATTAAGGATTAGGTTTCAACATATGAATTGGGGTGAGAGTGGGAGGATACACACATTCAGTCTATAGCAAGCAGCTATAGGAAACTAAGGCATTGAACACAATCTTTACATAACAATATTTTAATTAAGTGTTGGAAAGAATTCACCAGTAAAGTCATCTGGACCTATAACACATTTTGTAGGAAGGTTTTTTTTTTTGAGTCAGAGTCTCACTCTGTCACCCAGACTGGAGTGCAGTGGCTGCTCCCGGCCACCGCAGCCTCGACCTGCTGGGCTCCGGTGATCCTTCCACCTCAGCCTTCGAGTAGCCGGAATTGCAGGCATGCGCTACCACGCCCGGCTGATTTTTTGGTTTATTATAGGGATGAGGTCTCACTGCCCAGGCGGGTCTCGAACCCGCGGGCTCAGGCAATCCACTCACCTCAGCCTCCCAAAGGCACGGGATTACAGGCTGAGCCACCGAGCCCGGCTTGTAGGAAGGTTTTTAACTACAGGTTTAATTCCTTCAGAATGACTCTTCAGATTTCTATTTCTTTTTGTATCAGCGTCATCTAGTTGTAATTATTAAGACATTCATTTGATTTAGATAGTGACATTTATTTGCATGAATTTATCCAAAAATCCTTTTATTTTCCTTTAAATTTAAGTGGGATTGGTGATTATGCCCCTTTTCATTTTTTACATTGAAAATATGTGTTTCCTCT